TGTGTTGTACGTATATATATATATATAGTGTGTGTGTGTGTGTGTGTGTGTGTGTTGTGTGTGTGATATATATATATAGTATGTATATATATATATATGTGTGTGTGTGTGTGTATNTATATATATATATATATATATATATATATATTGCTTTGTTTACTACTTAGTTTATCCCAATAACAATCATACGTATTTTTAGATGGTGGTGTCACGTAGTTTCAGATTGGCACATATATCTTAAGGTCTCCACTCATCTTTTCCTGTATATAACGCCAATTTTTATTTAGATTCGGGAAAGTTTGAGAGGCACCCTCTCCCAAGCTTATGATGTCGAGCATAACGTATACTGTTGCGAAGAGGTCAAGAGCGTGGTAAGTGTTACAAATGTTTTGAATCGATCTTGGTGTAGTCGCGTGTGTCATCTGATTTTGACGTAGGCAAAGAATCTATAACATTACCAGACTGACAAAATATAATCTACGTGCGAAGAGACGTACGCTTGTTGAGTGGAAGTGTGTAAGTAGAGTATATGGTAGATCACAATGAAATTGAAATCAATGAATGCTTACATTAAACGCAGTGCGCTTTACATTGACATTTTTTTCATTGACACATGTATCGGATCGATCTAAACCGATGAAGTACAAAGTCTACTATCTAATTTTAATTGATGCAGCACACAATACCAATAACTTATATTCGTATTCTCGACTTACGGTTACTGAGGTACGATATTGTTATTTTACAATCTACAACAATAAAACACGCTGTATATGAATAACATACTGTCTCTCTTACTATGCAGCATGCAGCATCATTTGCGCTTCTCAGTTTACAGTTTTTGCAGTAGTATTTTTGACATACAGCTACTGAGGTTAAATATTCAGATTTTACAACCTACAACAATAAAACTATCAGTATATGAATCCATTTTTTATCTCACTTACTATGCAGCTAGCAGCACAATGTGCGCTTCTCAAATCACAGCTTTAGCAGTACAATGTGAATATCTGTAGTGCGTATCATCAATATCTGTACAGTGCTATAATAGGAGCCCTCCGTTGAGTGGGTGTGTACATATCTGTAATGCGTATCATCATCAATATCTGTACAGTGCTATAATAGGAGCCCTCCGTAGAGTGGGTGAGCGCTTCAGTCTACAATGAACGCAGCAGGTAGTGCTAAATTCTATTCTCACTCGAAGCCGCACAGTATGAAGAATACAATGCGCAAACCTTTCGTTTCCGAGTTAACGCCGAACATTGTACCTTCCTCATCTGGAAGTCCTTAGCAGACTATGCGCATCTCTTAACCTACAACACACTCAGTACAATGCGTGAATTGCGTGTACATTCAATATATGATTTATGCATTGCAATGCGCAATTTTTGGCAGACTGTGGTGCGATCTCAATTATCCGAGTGTCTTCCAATTCAAATGGGCTTTAATGCCACTATCAAAGGTATCTCAACTAATTGCACAGACCCGCCTGTTGTTGAGATCTGATTTCTTTGAGTAACCTGCGTTCAATGATTCCTGCTCTGTATTGTTTTCTTCTGTTGGTGGAACCAATGAATAGTGTTTCTGCTTTGTTGCGATGTGCAGCCAATCAAATGCGTGGTAGTCGACGCACCAATTCACGAGCAAGGTAGTAGTACTGTGCCATAAGTTGACACTTGTTCCCGGAAACAAGCGCAACGTCTTCATTTGTTCTCTTTACTCGTATATACAGCCAAGCTCTTCATCCATGACAATACCGTAGACCCTATTGTTGTATGTGAGGGTTTAAAGAGTATTGAGCGCGATTTTGGTAGTACACTCATCCGAAGCTTGTTCGTGAGCCGTTTGGACCAGTCAACACCCAGTTCTGACTTGAACCAAGTTATCAAAGCCGTCAATGAGTTGCGGGTGGAGGGCAAAATCGATCAGCTGGGTGTCAGCGACTTTAACAAAGAGGAGATCACACAGATGATAGAAGAGACCGAGGTGTGTGCATGTCCAAACCTGGGGCCGTTTGCTGCTGTGTGTGATGGTTTATGTGTTTGTGAAGATATGGATTTGCTAAGTGATATCATACGTGGAGGTATATACGTGAAGGTATATGGTACATGCATGTCAGCAAGAAGTTGTGCGTATACTTTTATTCGAGACTATTTCTAAACTGTGCTCCATTTTGGATGTGTTCCATTTTGACTTTTTGTATTTATTCACGAAGCAACTCGTGTGAACGGCGATATACATGTTACCTTTGTACTGCATTCTTGTATGGTACCACAAAATTTTGCAATTATCATGCATATAATAAAGTTATATTTCAAATACCCGCATTTATAATAAAACTAGTGCAAAGGTCTGTTGTACCATTGTCTATTTACTTGTCCATATAAATAGCATCTATGAAGATATGTCCATCATTATTGCGGACATAATTATGTTCTATATATGTATGTGTGGTTCTATATTTATATATATATATTATATATATATGTGTGTGTGTGTGTGTGTATACATACATATATATATATATATATATATATATATATATATATATATATATATATATATATATATATATATATATATATATATATATATATATATATATATGTATGTATGTATATATATGTATGTATGTATACATAAATATATATATATATACGCTCTTTGCCAAACATGCTTAGGTTTTTTTGTTCCTGAATGCTGAATTTACAGGTTTACCCTGACCAGGCACAAGTTGATGTGTCTGAGAAATCGATGAATTGCGAATGTGTCCAGTTTGGCAAAGATAATAATATCGAGTTTATAGCTCACGCGGATCCACCAGGTAGTGTATAGAATCAGTGTGATTTTGGTGTATTCTATTCAGCAAAGTTGTATGTTGGTACGGCTTTCTCGCGCTGACGACTGTTAATTCGCGTATATCCACTTGTCGTGGGAGTAGAGTACACCATCGATCAATGTGTATCTGCCGTATACTCATGCATTTCTTAGGCGACCGTCTAGTCGATCAATGTTAATCTGCCGTATACTCATGCATTTCTTAGGAAACCGTCTTGTCGATCAACGCTTATCTGTCGTATACTCATGCATTTCTGAATACCAAAGAGGAAGCACGATACTCGACGTAGTGGTTGTGGTAGAAGAACCTCACCTGAGAATATTTACTTGTGGCTATGGTGGGAGTGAACAACAATCAAATGCGTTGTTTGAAGCTAGACTGGCGCGAGTATAGTGGAAGTTGAGTTCTGCCAGTAATACTAATTGATAACGCGATCAGTACTATCCCAACTCGGAAGTGCATGTTACAGCGAGGATGTGGCAAATCTGCGGGATTCTTCATATTGGTGTAAAAGACCGACAGCTATTTTGAGTTGCACATGCATTCACAAACTACTACTGTGAGCTTCTCCAATGCCTAAATATGACTCTACCTCGATTTGGGAATGTGCTTGTGACACCAAGTATCCCTGCAGAAAACATCAATCATTTCGTACGAACAATATCTGGCATCATTCTTCTGTGTGAAGCTGATACCTAAACTCAGTGTGTCGCCAAATCTATGCGAATCATCCCCTTCGCGACACTTCGAGTCTTGCCCTAAAATCAAATCACGCTGTGCACTGCATCGTATTTATTTAACCTTCTTGATAATCTGTACCACGTCTTCATCCTCGAGCACGTGGTCTTTGCCCACCCGTTGTGGATTGTGCTTGACTGATTGGCCCCAAACCAGAGCGCTGTTGGGAGGTGAAATAACAACCATCGAAGATCAGACAGGAACTGAACTGAGGCTTATATGGTAAAGCTTCAAAGTCAGAATGCTATGCGAACGAAGAAACTGGTAGGCTAATGATCACACGTGTACGAAATGTAGCATGCAGTTCTAATGGGGATAAACGCTGTACGAAATGAAAGCAGGCGATGCGAATGGAAATATAACACCTAAACATGATGAAATCACATATTCAGCACTACAGACCAATAGAAACGTGGAGTACATCCCGGATATGAGCTTCACATATGTTAGAGTCTGGACCTCGCATCCAGATAATCTTAGTATGCTATGAAAGATATGCAACCGCAAGGAGCGAATCCAAACGCAAAAGTACTTTTTTCTATACCAAACTACAAAGGTAGATGAGACGACCACACGCAACCACAAATTTGTCAGCAATGACAGTAACGCGTTATTAGCGTATAACCAAACATTGTCATTGTACTTTCACTCTCACATACTGTTTGAAGTCGGTGAGCAGAGCCCTGTGGATCTTCATACAGAAGTTTTCGACAGTCCGTTTCTCTCGTTGCAACACCACGGGTTGATCGTAGTCGGGTAGCTGGCCCTTGGGCTTCGTGAATACCCGTACCAGGTCCAAGTACTTCCAGGTTAGTTGTAGTAATCCATCGTAGTTCCATCGGTGATGTGCAGAGATGGGAACACAGTGCGGGGTTTTGCAGATGATGTCTAGCTCTTCTATTGAGATCTGCATTGATTCAGTAGACGTCATACAGGAGTTCATGGGGGAATGAATACGATTGGACTGATAACAGAAAAGAAAAGTTGAAGTTCTGTAGACGTCATATAAATACTGCAGGGTTGTGAGAACTTGCTGAATAGTCGTAATCAAATTTCCAATAGTAATGCGCGATAAATACATAGCTATGGTTACATAAGATAAGGCCTATGGAAAACATGCATGCTGTAATTCGGTCATAACTGCTGTCGATATTGCTCTTGCCGACAATGAACTTATAGCGAATTCAAATTATGCAGTACAGTCCAGATATACAAATTGCAATCACTTCTGAGTTCATCACAGCACTAACACTCGCACACACGTCTGTCTGCACGGCAAAAGGTCAGTCGACAATCGACACATACGCTATGGACTATACATTGTTCGGACATTGCGTACAGAACTGTCATTTGAGAAGTCAGGGCCAACGGATGGGCACATTAAGCAGACGCAGACAAGCTCTGCATACCTGATCTATCTTATTCAGCACGTAAACGGCCGGGATGTACACACGGTTGCCTTCGATCACGTCAATCAGATCATCGACAGTGCAATCCTCCATCAAACGCACATCGGCGCTCAGGATTTTGTATTCTTTCAGCACACTTGTGACGGTCTCAGCGTCCAAGTGTGTGACCGGACAATGTGCCACGAAGTTGATGCCTCCTTTGTCTTTCTTCTTCAGCACCAACTGGGGCGGCTTCTTGTTGAGGCGAATACCGAAGCCTTCGACCTGGAGATATTCAGTATGGTGATGGTTTAAATTTTGAATACAACGTTGATCTACGAAATGCTAACATTTTGGCAGAAGGCAAAACACGAACGCTATCAACTTAGGCTGGCTACACAAGCCTCTGTACGTATACTGGTAGATAACAGATTTTTCATTTCCGCGCAATTGTCAAGAAATGATGCAACTAGGCTGGTATAAACCATTTTTTTTAGAAAACTATCTACCTGATATTGACATAAACATCGTTTCAAAGGATAAAATATCAACAAAGACACTGCTTGTACATGGCCGACGGCATAGTTTGAGAAAATTATGAACTGTCGGTTAGTACACATCGATATATGAGAGACGGCTGTACTCTCTGAATACAGCCAGCCATAACAGACACATTGGAAACGGGATATGTACAAACGAGTAGATTGTTTGTGACATCACAAATTATACATTTCGAATTGGGTTGGTCTAGTACGTTAGTGCGATTAGCTTACTTCTGCCTCGATGATCCTTTTGTGTCCCAGAGGCTTCATGCAGTCCAGCACAATGTAGATCAGTGAGCAGGTACGCGCAACTGCAATAACTTGACGTCCTCTACCCTTGCCATCCTTCGCTCCCTCGATAATACCTGAATAACAGAAATAAAAAGCACGCTTTAGCAACATGTTACGCGAGGATCTACAGAACGCCACAGTTGAACAATTACAGTTGTGAAAACTAGTACTATGATTCTGCGGTCGCTTAAGGCCCAGAGATGTACACGCATAATGTTAACAAAGAAAGAATTGTAATCCAAAAAGCGAATAAACTTGGTAAACACTAGATGTCTACAACTATAGACTAATCATGTACGACTGTCCAGCGACACATATGAACACTCACAACATGGATTGTTCACATAAGCAAACACACAGATATACCAAACACACAGATATACCCCTAGAAGGTAAAAACGAGCCATGGCTACTCAACTTACCAGGTAAATCCAGCAGCTGGATCTTGGCACCCTTATAACTAATCTGACCAGGAACTGTCGTTAGAGTTGTGAATTCATACGCCGCCACTTCTGAATGTACTCCCGCCAGATTGGACAGTAACGTAGACTTCCCTACTGACGGAAAACCTGCAGTAATGCATTGTGACGATATCAAAAAAGCAAAATAAATATGCACTTCCCAATACACATGATACTACAGGATAAAAGCAAATACAACATACTTGAATCCCAACTCCAAGTTTTAGAAGCCTCGCTCGTAGTTCAATATTTGGAACGAAATGCACATGAACTTTCCACTTAAAAACAACGTAATAGTGGAATAAATTTGCCATCACCAAGTATTTCATATTAATTCAGGATATATATAT